CCCCCCCCCCCCTCCCCCACTCCCCATTGCTAATTCCAACAGAAGCCAACCGAAACAAAAATAAAACAGCCGGCAATTTCCATTCCGTGTGGACTGACTTCCTTGCCTGGCAGCCCTACTTTATGCCGTTGTGACGCTACAACGGACTATGGAGTCTCTTCAAGCCGTTGGCTACTGTCTTAACGGCGCCCTTGCTGCTCCCGTTGCGAGCGCCATCGCGCACGTTGTTGCCGTCGGTAGCGGTGTGGCAATCGTAGGCATTCAGTCGTCGTTGGATCCGTAGTTGTTTTTATTGTTGTTCCCAGAGATCGCCACGCGTTGACGCAATGCCCCCAAGGTTTGCCGTGCGTTGACCCAGTCATCGTAGGGAAGGACAAAACCACGGGGGAGGGAAGGGAGAGAGGAACCTGTCAGCCGGAACGTCCCGCGGCGATAGGATCGAACCGTGTTGCAGCAGCACCCGCACCAAGCAAGCAGCACGAACCTCCGTCCTTCATTCGCGACAACACAACGCAAAACACAACTCCACAGACAATCCTTCCTACAGCATGTACCGGAGGCATGTACCGTGCGTGTAGGCTGCAAGAGACATCCACCGACCCCCGGCCCGATTATTTAAGTTCCATTACTTCCACGACGAAGAGGATGCCAAAACCAAACAATAGGCTGTCGCAACGCCCTCGACGAGACGGGACCAACGTCGGCCTTTCGGTGCAGCTGAGTGATCGATCTCCTGGAAAACTGTCTCTCCAGTGGATGCGGTACCATACGCGACCCACGGCCGACAATCTCGTGAGTACATCCATCCCGCGCTCGCTGTAGTACACTTGAGTTTGTGATCGATCGAAAATTGAAACCCCTGGATGGAGGCCGTCGAACAGTACGCCAAAACCAACGTGGGAGAAGTTATCCGGGCGTCACTCGAGAGACCCCGCAACGACACCAAGTTTTCGAAAGCCAGCTCTCGCTTGTGCTAAATGGGAGGCAGATGTGGTCGTGGGCCCTCAATAGGGCCCGTAATCTAGATCGGGTGAAATGCTTTCGCACAGCAAAAGTAACCAAGTCATATTTGAGCTATGTCTTGAACAGGGCGGGTGCCACCTGTAGGGCGGGTGAATCGGCCCAGCGACAACAGTTACCACCGCTTTCGTTACTGCTGCTGCTGCTCTAAAACCGTTTGAGCCTCGCACTTCGTTCGAAAACATACATACAATCACAGACTCACTACCCGCCCTCATATTGTACGTACTACGTACCTGGAGCGTCCGAGCTCGTGGAAGTACCCCCAAAAGTCAACCGCCTCTCCGCCCGCTGATTGGATCCCCCCCTCCCCGCCGCCGCCCCTCCAAGTCTGTCACCCCCACCCCTTCCCCCTCGCAGTTCATCTTTCCTCAACACCGCGGGGTCAAAGCTGGTTCTTCGCCCCGGTCTGGCCGCCGCAACCATCGCGGCCGCTGACGTTCCGCTGACGGCGCTTGCGCTGGCTCCGCCGTCTGCCGGAGCACCCCCACGGTTTCCCATCCCTACTGTTCCATTTTCTCCTCCTCCTGCCGCGGCCGCAACTGTTCCATCTCCTCCCCCGTTGAGTGCTCGCGACGGGCCTGGGCCGGGCAGGGCGCCCCTGGGCTTGATCCCGCCGCCACCGCCGCCGCCGCCGCCGCCGCCGCCGCCGCCGCCGCCGTTGCTGACGCGGTTTGTCTTTCTGGTCGCCTCGCAGGTACTGCTGCCGTTGCTGGTTGTGGACGTGCTACTCCCGCTGCCGTTGCCTCCTCCGCCGTTGCCGACCGCTTCTGTTGGCCGGTGGCTCGCCGCCGCCGCCTCCGCCGCCGCCGCCGCTGCCGCCAGATGATCTGGGCAGCCCGGCCGTCGCTGTGGTACGTTTATTTTTTGTTCTTGTTGCTGTTGTGGCTGTGGTGGTAATGGTGGTGGTGGTTGTTGCCTCGATCGCTGCGGGGTGTATTTCCTGCCGTTGCTGCCGGCGCCGCTTACGCCGGCGCCGCTGCTGAAACCGTTGCTGCCGCTATGGACGCCCCCGTGGTTACTCTTCTGGTAGAGGTTCTTGCTGTCGGTGCCGCCTGCAGGGAAAGGCTCTTGGTGTGGACCTTGCTCGTGGAACTCGTTGTCTTCCAGGATATCCGGGAGGTCGCTCTGGGTGCTCCCTCTCCTCGCCTGCAGAAGAAAAAAAAATAACCGTGGTGTTGCAAGCGAAAGGGCCGTCCGTCATCCGCTGGACACGAGCCCACGTCGGTCGCGACAGAAAAAGAAAACAACATGGTAAAGAAGCTGCCTATTTAGTTGAGGCTGTTACTCGAGGAGGGGGGGGCATCACTCCGTGTATTTGCTCGAGGATCAGTAGAGGCATGAACAAGCGGGATGTAAAAAACATCAGCAATGAATTCGCGAAGACAAGGCAACATAACGCATTCCCCAGCGGCGATGTCCACGTACTAACGTATCGCGAACCCACAAAGTGTATATTGCAAGCCACGAGAGCGAAGCGAAAAGGAAAGATACACGTACGTCTACGAATAGTAGCACCCCATATCACAAAAAAAAAAATCAGAAAAAAGTAAAAAATTAAACGCACATCGGACGACGTATAGCTCGGCCGCTTCCCGTTAACTCCTCCCGCCGCCCCAAGGCCGTCCAACCATGGCAAGGTGGGGAGGCTGTGCAGGCTCGACGTCACGCTCCCGCCGTGGCTTGACATTAGGCTGAGCGGCAGGTTGGAAAAGGACCCCACGCGTCTTGGTCCCGCGGAATCGTCGTCCAACAGGACGCAGCCCGAGCTCCCTGCAAAATGCACGCCGGGGGGGGGGGTTGCCGTGTGATGCATGGACCCAAGTGTTCGCTGTTTACGTATGTGTACACCTAGTGCGTGCGATGACGTGCTAGGGCATCAGGTATTGCACAGCATTCTTCAGGTGGTTGCCTCCATCTACATGTATGCACGGCTCTGATTGCTCAAAGGTCATAAGTTAGACCACTGTTGCTATATCGTTTGTTCTGGGAAGCCATGGTTTAATACAAAGCTGGTACGCGTTTACGTGCTTGTCAAGTCAAACGCGTCTTTCATGTGGTTGGGTGGTCGATTTTGCTCCTGCGTACAAGCGATCCCAGCCTACTCCCACATTTACGGCACTTGCAAAGGCTGCTAGGGTTTCCGGCTGACATAATCACGAGCCGCTTCCTCAACATTGTGGGTGGGCTATAGCGGCAGCCTGCCCGTTTCTGTTTGTGCTTGCTTGCTTGGTAATTCTTGAGCCGATTTTGTCCGGTTTCAGCTCACAAAGTTTCCACCCGCCCTCGAAGTCGCAGTAAACCCTGCAATCTCCTGCGAAACACCGCAGTGATTTGGCTACACACAAGACGAATGAGTTTAGTGCATCAGCAAGATTATCATGCAAAACAATCCTCACTGGATGTGATACGTGCCGTTCTTTGCTTTTTTGAAGCTTTAAACATTCAAGGTTTTGGGGAAGACAAGGTACTGGACAAGACATGACGACGGCAAGACAAGCAAATACCACAGGCTCACTAGCGGTACAAGTATGGTAAGGTGTCTGATGTGTGCGTCCCTCCCATATATCCTGGGGCCAGTCCACACACCTTTCTGCGCACCACATGTATTTCTGACATATCCTTCAGTCCATGTCACCCAGGAACTTTTTCTTGCGCGTGCACGAACCATGAATTTGTTATTGCGGGAAAACATGCCCAGCACCACCTCAACACGACATCTTGCTGGAACACTCAAAGAGACGCGCACCCACCTTCCACATTGATGAAGACCGGATCCATATCCTCGGCGGTGGCGGCTAGCGACGTTCTCCGTACGGAGCCTCTCATCAACCGTCGATTCTTTTCAGTTGTTCAGCCGAAGGAGCGAAAATGAGAAATCGAGTTTGGTTTTGAGGCCACAAGGGTAAAGGGGCTAGAGTGACAACTGGATAGCAAGACCCACACACACATACGTGATGGGAGATAGGGCGCACGGCAGGCTTGAGGCGGTTTTTCAATAATCAATCGGGCAGAGAGCATCTTGGTCTTGAGCCGAAAGAGTAAAAATCACGCAATGGAACGACAACAAAGGTTTGGCTATGTAGAAACATATACACATAAGTGATGGAGGATATGACGCACGACATGCTTCAGGCGGCTCCTCAAGAATCAACCGAGCAGAGAGACTACGCTAGCGAGGGGACCAAGCGACGACTGCTTTGCCCACCAGCAGTCTTGATCCCCTGCTGCGGTCCGCCGAGTACATGATGTCATCCCTCAACCGTTCGCCCGGCCTTCCGCGTATGGAAGTACAAAGTAGGGGGTACACGCAGTGGAGTGGGAGGTGGGGGTACAGGAGTGAAACACACTAAAGTGGGCGGAGCAGGAGTAGCGGAATGAGCGAGTGCATGGGCGCTGTTTTGATTCATCATGCCGTGGTTCTTGCAATACACAGAAATATCACGGAAAGACCACCTGCTGGAGAGAATGCCTCGTTCGAAGGGACGTGTTCACAAATCGTATGCCGTGAGGGTTAACGTTAACAGGGGGGGGGGGG